CAAACTGAGACAATCTGGTACTATATAGATGGCTCAAAAATGTCAGAAGTCGCAGAAGCTTCAGTTGCAAGGCCGAAACAAGCAATATCTTTCCACGTAAGCCTATCTAAAAATATCACATTTTTCCAGGAGAAAAAAAACCGGCAATCTACTATTGTGTATAGAAGAAATAACAAGGCAGCAAACAAAACACATTGTTCGGTGACCATATTCACAAACAGCTAAGCATCAGCGCTAAAAGCACTCGGTTCCACGGAGGTCAATTCTAGACTAGTGTAGGATTGTGTGTGTGTACCCTAAATAGAACCCTTCTGTGCCGTTGCAAAAGCAGTCACGAGAATAGCCACAAAACGATGGATGGCCAACACATCTCTAGAATGGTGGAGAAATTCACCAAGGCAGAGACAGGCAAAACAGTTCGTAGCAGAACATTTATCAAAATCCATGGCAGACCTGATAAACAAAGACAGAAAGACAGTCAAAGGGCATTGTAAGCTGAATAGACTTATAAAGCCAACGGAATTGACGGATGAAGCCATGTGTAGGTTCTGTCAATCTGAAGAAGAAACAATTGAGAAAACATTCTATGTCGGCAACCTTGCTCCTAAATGTACGGTTTTCTATAATAGGCAATGATAAGCCTTTTACAGAAAGCTATATGGAGTTAGCTTGACTTTTTGAAAAGGCTAGGACTGGAAAATGTAAAAAAAATAATTTCGATCCACTCACACTTTTTGGAGCCATCCTGTACAAGTGAAAATATTTTCTTGAAATAGGCCAAGAACCCTATAGTACATTCTTCATAACCTAAACAAAATTGCTAAGTTCTTTTTTATAGGAGCCACAGACGACGGAAGCACTGGTAGGTTCAGTGCCCTGTTTATATTGATATATTAATAGTCTGATTACAGTTTTTGTTCTCTCAGATGTATAGTTATTAATTTTAATTAATACCATTTTAATTAATAGAATTCGCATCGAAAATACCAAAAACTACTTCATAAATAATAATTTTATCAGTAAAATATATTCATAGCTTAATAATTAGTCAACGTTTTCTACATTCTTATTTAATATTTTAGAGATAAATTAAGATATATAACTTACTATTCTATTAACACCCCCATTAATACATATTACACAACATTTATTATCGCACTAAATAGCGACAATAGCGCCTAGAATTTTCTACCGCCAGACAAGTTGGAACAATTCAATCTCTCCTTGAAAATTCAAGTGCAAAATAACTTGGATTCTATTAATACAATGATCTGAACAACATAACAACCTTTTATAATATCAGTTTTAACAAGTTGCTTATTAGTCATCATGTTATTTGGAAAGCGTGCTATATAGATTATAATGTATTTGTTTAAAATTTAGTTTTGATATAAAATTCTGTGTCTCAGAAAACTGCAAAAGTCAAGTTGAAGTTTTGTATAAGAGTAACTTCAGGATGGTCTAATTTTCCTAGATATACAGAGAGAGCAAATCAAATATAATTTTACGCTAAAGTAATTTATTAAATTGAATGTTGTATATCTGTTTGGCTTAAGTTATTCACCATAAAAATTCCAAATCAAAAATACTATGATTTGTAAAATACCACGTGCGTCTTAAAAGTTAAAAGTGGCTCATCTCTATAACTTTTTTATTTTTTTCAGATAAAGAAACGAGATTTGGTATGTTAGTATATGACATAAATTGTGAGTGATTGATGTATTCAACTGTTTCCGGTCACTTCCTGTTTTACCGGAACTGACCACAACTTTTGATTTTTAAATGGCACCCTCGGTATTTTTTTTAATTTGATCGATAGAAAATGACACTCTGAATAGAATGAGATATTTCAACTTTTAAAATTCTCAATTAAAAAAAATCGTATTTTAAACTTCAATCTAGAGGGCCATGGTTGTGTTAAAAACACTAATTTTTAATCAAGGAGCCTTGGAAAAATAGATTTCATGGCCGGTTAAAAGATGCCCAAATCAAATTTATAATCATATGTCAAATTTTTCAAATAGAACGAGAGTGGCTCATCAGCATAATTGGAAAAATCATTTTTTACCAAGAATTTGGTACCACACACTTGGTATTTCGAGTAAAATTATCATTATGAACCGCCTGTTACAATTTCAAATAAACCACATGCCAAAAATGTCAAAAGTTGACATAGATGTCATTCTATTTAGAGTGTCATTTTTTATCGAATAAAGTAAAAAAATACCGAGTGTGTCATTTAAAAATCAAAAATTGTAGTCATTTCCGGTTAAAGGGTTAACATTATATTTTTCCTGTTGTTAAACTATAACATTTTCCGATAGCTATTATCACCCTTTCCGTAGCATTGAACTAAATTTGTACTTCTTGAACATTTTAAAACAGCAATAAATATGACATTAATTAAAAAGTCAATCAAAGAATGAAAAAGAAATTATATTACCGTAACATTACAACCTTTTGATTTTTAGAACACAGCAAACATTCAACCGTATTTTCATGTTTTTTTTTACTTATTTCTAATACAGAATGGAAATGTGGAAATGAATAAAAGGGATTAACCGAGGGGTGTCTCACTATTGGAATTACATGTACATTTTCTTGGCAGTCTTATGGCAGTCGCCTTTAATAATTACATGGCAGTCATGGGCAGTCTTCCTCATAGTCATTGACAGTCGCTTAGCACTGGAAGGATATTTTGGCAGTAGTACGTGTACATTTTTTACCCGAGTGAGACACCCCTCGGGTTTAACCATTAGAACAAGCAAAAATTTTTTATGAAGAATACATTTTTCCCAAAATGGCAATAATAAAAAAGTTTTTCTTCTTATAAAAACAATCCGGGGACATACGTAGGTATTCTTATTAATTTTAGGTATAACATTATATATAATAAAGTGATGGAATTTTACGCACAATCTAAAAATTAAATAAAAAAATTGGCGCCGCGCCGGGAGGCACGTATAGCCGCCCATACTTGATATTTATTTATCTCAAAAACTGCGACTTTGACTGATTTTGATGTTATTACAAATTTTGTTGCAAATATTATTCCTAACCTTAAATTGAAAACCGCGTTTCGCTAGCTACTGTAATTTTGGAGTTACGATTTTTTATATTTTTAACCCCCTCCCATATTCCCTTACCAACCCCCCACCCCCACCAAAAACTAATGGCCAGATTCTCGGGTGCCACAGTATTTTTGTGCCAAATTTAGTTAAAATCGGTTTAGCGGTTTTTGAGTTAGGGTAAGTCCGGTAGAGATGCCCCACCGGGTGAGATGGCCACAGCGTGTAAATTCCTAATCATGTGACTTATTAGTTGCTTCCCGCTAGATACGGCAGTAGTTTACCTGCTGCTATTATGGTCTGACATAATTTGAATGTCAATAAAAAAATAGGCTAGTTTTTACAAAGAACTGTTTTTATATAAGTACATATTATTTTACTGTCAGAGGTCGCGTGGGAATAACGTAATATTATGTAAGTTTTTGGTATTTCATGCCATTTTATATTAAAATACATACTTCGTGAAGAATCATAATTTCAAAAAATTAATCATATGTCGCTGCATTTTAAAATCTTACGGTGGGGCATCTCTCCCATCATATTGGGAGAGATGCCACATAGAAAGCTGGTAATGATGCCCTACTAATTCATTTACTAAAAAGTAACTTTTTTAATCATGCCTACTGAATATATAAAATAAAATGTTGTAAAATGGCTGCTGCTTTGCAAGCCATTAATACCGACCAAATGGGCATAAAAGCATGATGCATGCTTTTGGGATCCCTGCAAGGACTTTGAGACGTAGGGAGGCAAACAACAACACAGAAAAAGCAAGCATAGGGCCATCCTCAACTTTTGGATAGTAGTTAAAAAAATAAAAAATAACCTTAGATATTTAACCAATATGTTGTATTTTTTTGCGGGACATTTCTCCCATGTTGGAAGGCCATCTCTCCCGCAACGTAGGGAGAGATGGCCAATTTTCTATTTTTTTATTGTTCTCTTACTGTTATATATACTTACTCATTATATTACTATCTTAGTCCTATTATGAATTATTATTAAAGATAGTTTAGGATCGCATCATTAGGTTCATTTAAAATTAACTACCAATATGTATTATTAGCCCCAAAAGAAAAGTGGGGCATCTCTACCGGACTTACCCTATCGTGTTACAGCCGGACAGGCAGACAGACAGACACCATGAAAATATTTTGTATTTAGGTCATTTATGACCCAAATAACTGATTTTGAGTGAAATTAAAAAAACTTTTTTTTGCCGATCTTAATAGCCTACCACCTGTTGGTATGGTCGGCTAAAAATAGAGTGTTGTATTTAAAAAAACATATGTTATATCTGCCACACATTTTTTAAACACTCTGTATACTCCGTAATAATTTTAAGATGTGTATGTTAACCTTTCCTATAACTTTTATATTTAACATTTTTTTGTAAACCTTGGATGAAATGAGATAATAGACTTAACTCTATCGTTGACTCACCCTGTACACGAGAATAACTTTCTAGGGAATCGTAAAATCGATTTTTTTTTTACGGAAAATCAATTATTTATCGATTTTTTTTTCGCACTTTTTCGCACAGGTATTCCTTACACCCTAATAATCTATAGATTCACCATCTATTGGTCTTGTATTTTAGTTAGATATATTTTTTTGACTACCAATAATTTACTTAATTTTAACTTAAAGAAAATAAATTATATATATTTATAACAATATTGGCGAATGCGCCGGGTATTAACTACGCCTAGCGGTACTACTAGCCATATCTTGCCATATCTCTGGGTACTACATTATACCGGCGAATTTTATCTGTGACAACACCGTACAGCTTCTGTACTCTACCGCGCTTCCATTTCGGATTGCGCGAAAAAATTACAGACGGTATATTTTCTAGAAAATACCGTCGGTGAAGTACTGAGGCTTTAGTATAAAAGCCAATATTCTGTGCATTATATGCTTAGTGAGATTATGAGATACCAACATCTATCTCTCAGTGGTGAAAATTTAGATAGGAATAAAAGGTAAGTAATAAAATATTTTTTAACTAACTCAAGTTTTAATTTATTTATTTATATTTTAATTATATTATTTCATTATATTTCAAAAATTTATTTATTTTCTTTTAATAAATATTCAGAACGTTTGTTATTTATATTTTAATTAAATAACAATAAATTCAATATAATTTTTCATGAAGTTTTTCGCTATTAGGAGAAAATATACAACATAAAAGAGTTATTTTTTATAAACATAAAAGAAACATAGAGAAATCACTTTTTTATTTTGTAGATTTTCCTCCCTTCTAGTGGCAAAAAATAGAATTATTTACAAAAAATGAACCCGGCATAAAAGGTATACATAAATATTATTTTTAGTGTAGTTCTTGTTTTACAAATAAATAATAATTTGTATAATTCTGTTAGATAACTTATTAAATGAAACCAAATTTAGAAGTATTGTATTATTAGGAGGTAAAAATAATACGAAGCATGCTAGTTTTTTCAAACGCCACAAATAATTTTTGAAACAAAATTTCAACCATTGCAAATAATAAATACTTAATATTCAAACGTTTTTAAAGTACTAGCTTGTAAGTAATTATATATCGAAACACTGTGGTTATACTCGTTGAATTTGACATTTCATTTTTATGTCAGTTTTTGTTTCTTTATGTCAAGTGCTTCACTTTTATGCGTAGTGCGTAGGCGTTAAAATAAAATTACTTTTTTTGTATTGTCGATCACATTCATTTCACAGTCATTTCGTTTGAAAAAAAATATTTTTTAATAAAATTAAATAAAGAGATCAATAATTATGTAGTTTTTTTGTAGATTTCTTATTTTTTTAGGAATTATATGAAAATGTATTACGTTATGGACGAAGTGTTGCAATTAATCAACAAAAACTTTGTGTCTTTGGATAATGAAGATATCAAAGGGACTAATAGATTGCTTCATACCGTAAGTAATAAATTTAAACATATAAACTGATTGTGGCAACTACTTTCTCAGTTTTTTTATTTTTATTTAATATGGATTGAATAATATAATTATTGAGCTTGATTACCCTAGTTTATAGAAAATTTAAGTATTTTTTTTTAATTTATATTATTTGTTCTATTATTATTTTATATTTAATTTCTATTAACAACATTCCTACGTCAATATTCTGCGCTCCTGTTTAATTCTAATAGAATATTTGCAAAATTTATAAATTAAGTACCTATTTCTTTATTCATTCATTATTTTGCCTTTAAAAAAGTTTGAAATTTTTAATTGAGAAATTTTATAGTTTAATATAAAAAAAGATTAGAAAGTTATAATTAAAAAGTCAATTTTTATACAATTTTCAAGATTGTATTTGTATTTATACAAAATATTTAGTCTAATTATTCCTATATATCCATTCTGTTCTCCTGGTCTGTGATAATGCATTAAGATAGTATTTTAATAAAACACGCTTTTAGATGTATAAGTAAGTAAGTAAATAAAGAGTAACTTTAACTCTACATATACAGGGTCGCTTTTATGTATGGAAACGGTCGATTATTAGGTAAAATATAGGAGGTACCGCAAAAAGTTAAATACAAAAGATATGGGATTTTTAAATATCTATTAGCGTGTAAAAAATTTAAGTATACAGGGTCGTTCATAAAGTCGTGGCACATCAAAGTTTCATTTTTTTAAATAGAACCCCCTGTATATTATTACATATTTCAATTATTCCTTCAATTCTAAGTAAAAATCGAAATACACACAATGTTCTTCAAACCAACCGTTTCCGAGTTATTGACTTTTGAAAAATTTAATTAATTAATTTCGATGTGTTTGGTTTGATTTAATGATGCCAGTCTGCCGAAACTGTGATCTGTTGTAATGGGTTTTTAAATTCATATTAGCTACTAGTTAATTAAAGTATACAGGGTCGGTCATAAAGTTGTGTCACATCAAACTTATTTTTTTTAAATGGAACCCCTGTATATTGTTGCATATTTCAATTCTTCCTTCAATTTTAGGCAATAATCGTAATACACAATGTACATAAATTGAAGAAATGAAATTGAACGAAAATTTTGTAATTTCCAGACTTGATATAGGTACCCTCATTTTATACATCTGTAAATGCTAACTTGAGAACTAATGTCAAATATTATGAAGTATCACAGTTTCGGCAGAATGGCATCGTTAAATGAAACTGAACATATCGAAATTAATTAAATCTTAAATAATTGTTTAAGTGATATTTTCAAAAGTCAATAACTCGGAAAAGGTTGGTTTGAGGTACATTATGTGTATTTCGATTTTTGCTTAGAATTGAAGGAAGAACCGAAGTGTGCAATAATATACAGGGGGTTCCATTTAATAAATTGAAATTTTGATGTGCCACGACTTTATGGCCGACCCTGTATATTTAAATTTATTACCGGCTAATAGATATTTATAAACCCTATAACTTTTATATCTAACTTTTTGCCGTACCTCCTATATTTTACTTAATAATCGACAGTTTCCATACATAACAGCGACCCTGTATCCTGTATGTATTATGTTTTCGCTTGTTAGGCCTTTCTCAAGAATTTTTTCAAAACTAACCGTCTGACTACATTTTAAGGAGTTTTATATAAGTTTAGAAATCCCTGTTGATCGTTTACATATTGTCGTTTTTAGTTGATTTTAATATTCCTAACTGTTCTAGGTAATTTAAGCGTCTGCCTTTTATTCATCTACTAGCGTGTACCAGCGACTTCGTTCGCGTCGAATTAATCATTTGTAATGGTGATGATAAAGCAAAGCAAGAATTTCTTATTAACATAACAACTGGATAAAATTTTCTCACATTTATGTCAGCATGAGAAAAAACAATATGGCGATATTATTATATAACTTCGTAATATTTGAGGGGTAGTTTCATCTGGTTGAAATTTGACTTTCGTAAAATCCATTTGCCAAAAATAACCTTTTTACGTCAAGCAGTTTAAGCAGAATCGTGGTTAAGAAATTACCCAACTTTTTGGAACACCCTGTATGATTTTTTAAAAAATTTCAAAATATGTAAAAAACAAATAAATTATGCTTGTCCAAGCGTTTACCCGAAAGACTAACCGTATTTTAAATAACAAATATTATAATATTTGAGGGGCGTTTTCACCCTCTTGGAATTTGAGATTCGAGAAACCCCTCCTTATCGAACCTCTACACCCTACAGTCAATCCGTTTGCCAAAAATCAGCTTTAAACGTCAAGCAGTTTAAGCAGAATCGTGATTACTCAGTGGTCATATTTTATGAAACACCCTGTATAAATTTATAAAAAATCTTAAAATATGAAAAACAACAAAATAAAATATACGTGTTTAAGAGTTTTTCCGAAAAACTCAACGGTTTTTAAATAAAAAATATATTGATATTTGAGGGATAGTTTTACCCCCTTAGAATTCGAGTTTCGAAAAATCCCTTCTTATCGAACCTCTACACCCTAAAGTCAATCTGTTTTCGAAAAATCAGCTTTTTACGTCAAGCGCTTTAAACAGGATCGTGATTAATCAATGACCAGATTTTTCGAAACATTTTTAAAAAATCTTAAAATATGTAAAAAAACAAAATAAAATATACGTGTTTAAGCGGTTTTTCGGGAACTTGACCGTTTTTTAAATAAAAAATATTGTAATATTTGAGGGGTGGTTTCACCCTCTTGGAACTGGAATTTCGAAAAATCCCTTCTTATCGAACCTCTACACCCTAGAATCAACCTGTATGCCAAAATTGAACTTCTTACGTTGAGTAGTTTGAGCAGGATCGTGATTAATCAGTATGTCAGTCACTTAAGGATTTTATATATTAGTATAGATGTAGTAACTTTATTGAAAAAAAAAATTATTGAGTGACTATTTAATATACAATGGATTGCGGAACTTTGCTGGAGATTATTAACAGATTTTATATATTTTTTAATCCTAATATCTAAATTTCTACCTGTTTGACCTATGTACATGGCATCACATTTATCGCAATCCACCCTTATATACCCGACTTATTTTTGACATTAGTTGTGTCTTTGTTATTTAATAAAATGCTACCTAAATTTCTTTACAATTGCTTACTGTTCTGCAATTGTCCATGTGTGTTCTTTTTGTAATTTTAATGACTTAAATTTTGTTGAACTCTATGATTTGTATTGTGTATTTTTTGTTGTTTGTATATTTTTTTTGTGCTTTTGTTTGTTTTGTGAGTGCTTTGTCGATGAAGCTGTTTTGGCTTTTTGCACAATAAAGCGTTGTTTGTTTGTTGTTGTTCTTTTATTTACATTTCAATAACTGACATGTAGAAATCGTCTCTACAGAAATTATCATCGATTGCCATTTCAAAGGTCATGGTTCAGACTTCAGACTTCAGACACTTGCCAAATATGTGTATTGTATAACATTGTCGAAAACTGTGCCAAATGTTGGTTCCAATGTGGAGGTTCCAACGCATCGTGTAGAACCGGCTTAAATATATAGTTTAATTTTTATAAAAGAAATTAGGCCTAGTTTATACAGGGGGAAAATAAATTATTTCAATCTACTTTTGAATGAAAATGGACAAATAACTGTCACAGACAATATGCATTTAATATTTTAAAACTAATAATTTAGTTGGTCAAAATTCTTCTGTCTTATTTTAAATTCTAACTGAAATAAGGAAGAAACATTGAAGACTTTTTTATTTGTTACATTTTTAAGAAATGTTAATTTTGTTACATATCACGTCAGTCTTTCTTGACAGTTTAACAGTAAATGGTAACTTATTTTAGGCCACCTCTATCAACTAAAAACAGTATTTCAAAAAACATCAACTTATTTCATTTATTTAGGAGAATTTAAAAAATTTATAATTAAGAATTTTTAATTTTCCAAAAAGAAAATATATCTATATATTACGGAGAATTGGAATCACTTACGCTAATTTGCTAAGAGTAATTGATAGAATAGTCTTAAAGTATTTTGGTTATCATTGTTCTTTTTGGATTCTAGAACAATCTAAAAACAAATTAATCCAAAAATCTTATCTTGTTGAATCATAGCCGTATAGATAATTCGTAATTAGAAAATGTCTAATATTATTGTTTTATAATAAATTTATCAAGCGTCTATATTAAATCTGAATCTCGTATTATCTTATATTGTAGATAAATACAACTTATGCAATTAATTAATTAATTTTGAAAAATATATTGCAGACTCTCAATAAAATGGTGGAATACATGAAAGAAGATCCAATCTTTAAGTTATTGTATATTGACAATTATTTTGGAGGAAGCTTCTATGATAAATTAAAGGTAAGAATTAATTTTTTTTTTTAATTTATATTTTTAATTTTAAAGACTGATAGTGTGACGAAAGAACGTATGTAAAAAAAGTAACGTTAGTCGGTACTTGTATAAAACTAACGAGTGAAAAAATATACATTTCCGTGATTTTTTACTTAAAAAATGCTTCTTGGTAAAAATCGCTACGAGCAGCCTTTCGGAAGATATTTAGAATGGAAATAGTCAATACATGTCATTATTGACAAAAAATAAACATGTTGAGTACATAGTTATTTGACTGAAAGGATAAATTCGGGAACTTTATATTTTTTTAATTAATCGTACCTGTTTCTTTTTACGTAAAAAAACAGTTAAAATATATGTATGTGGCGCCCCTTACAAAGAGGAGTCATATTGACATCAAAATCAAATTTCTCATGTCAAAAAACCTCTAGATACCAATTTTCATCCAAATATTGACGTTACTTCAGAAATTGTTTATTTGGAAACAATCGAAATAAAAATGAAACTTCTACACCCTGTATCTCCAAAACTAAACATTTTAGACCAAACATTTATACGAACTTTTTTACTTATTATTAAAGGTTCCGGAATAGTGTTTGGACCACTCTGTATATTAAAACAGCAAAAAATATGACGTTAATCAAAATTTCTCAAAGAATGAATGTAAACCTAAATATGATATTACCATAGAAACGTGTTATGATTTTTGGGACATTCAACCATATTTTCATATTAATAAGTTTCTAGGCACATAAATCTATTTCCCAAAAAATATTTTTTCTCGAATATTAAACTATACACCAATTAAAAATCTTTTTTACTCAATATGAAAATAAATTATTAAAACCTTCTTAAAACTGGCAGTAAGCGCCGTTAAAAATAAAGAAAAGTACAGACCTAGTAAATGACGTCTAGGGCTTGACCTCTCTAAAATTACTATCGATTACCATTGCGCAGCCGTCTTTGACGCCGTTTTTTTTTCGATTGTAAGGTATATTTGAAAGAGAGACATATAATATTTTAAATAAATTTGACAAAACGATCATGAACTTATTTGACATCAATATCATTTTATCCATTATAAGTCATTTATATCCATGATTTTATACTGCCAAATAAATTGTACAAGATATTGATGAAACATAATTTAACTAATAAATTGTCAGGTGAAAACCCGCCAATATTATTCGACAATATCGATAAATCAATAAAAAATCATAATTACTTTAATAATTGTTTTTACATTTAATAAGATAAATTTGTTATCGGTTTCCTTAAATGTCACTTGCTTTCGTTTTGATAAACAATATACTTTTGTCAATCTGCAAATATTCGGCCTAAAAGTTGAAAATATACTAATAAAATAAACATATAAGATACACATCAAAGGAAGGTGCTTACGCACAAAAATTATTAAAGACCCAATAACCAATAAATAAAATATTTTCAAAACAGTAATAGGAAGTTTATAATCAATATAGTTTTGTTTATTGACACTTAATGGTACTCTGAAATAAATACCGTATGATCGAAAAAAAAACGATGAGGAAAAAGTGATGAGGAAGAAATAAAGGAAGAAACCTAAAATGGCAATAATATACAGGCTGTTCTATTTAAAAAGAAATCACTATCACTCACTAAGCCCACGGCCACAGAGAAAGTGTTTTTTGCGTTTTTAGCGTGAAGCGTCTTTAGCGACTATAACAAAATAACAGGATTATACAGGTGTGGCCACACCAAAAGCGTGTAGCGTTCGGCGTGTCTCGCAAAAAAACGCAAATGGAAACAAATCAGTTTGTTTTCTGTAGCCTCTTTAGCGTTTTCTAAGATGAGACTGTTGTGTTATGGGATTAATAATACACGGTCGATTATAATAAAGAATTATTTATTCTTTTACTAGAAACACGCACTCGGAAGGTATCTATGTTTTTTTTTAGCGTGGAATCAATTTCTATATTAGCAGTTCAAGGCAAGAAACTCTTATATAATTTTATTATTTATTATATTATATTATAATTATAACAAGTACTAACCACAACACTACAACATAAAAAAACTATACACATATAAATTAAAATTCGTAAAATAAATGGCAAATAATAATTATTATTTTTACACACACCACTGGCACTAGCAGTAGATTGTGTTTGTCCCCGAATATATGTCCCGGCCCGTCCACAATTCAATCCCAGCATCTTTTATCTTCGTCTCTTCAACGCTAACGGCACCGATCTCGCCTATCTCTTTCTCACAGGTTTGATTCTTGGACGGGCCGGGAATCCACGAGCTTGCGACGCTTTCGTTACTAATTGACATCTTGATAGAAACTGCGGACCTGCCGCGTCTTTTGTGTGTTTTTAATGGACACAAATCGAAAAAAGCGCTTAAAACGGTAAAATCGCAAAAAGCGCTTGAGACGTAAAAAACGCAATACGCTAAAAACGCTTTCTGTGTGGCCGTGGGCTTCACTTTTTTTAAATACTTTCCTCAAAATAGTACTTAGTATAAACTTAGGTCTGCAAATAAAAAAGAAATACATAAGTTATTTATTATACATAGTAGCTTGTAGATGTCAGTGGCTCTGTTTCAGGATTCTGTATTTTATGAATATCGTTCGTTAATAAAAAGTAAAATAAATTGCTTTATCCAACAGCCACACCATTTTATAGAAAATATTAAGCTTTATTCAGCAATTACTAATTCAATTATTAATTGAAATTAATACTAAAAATAATCCATCCATACATATATAAAAGCTCAAAGGGTTTTTTTGTTAGATCCATCCCGCCGAAACCGCTTCACCAATCTTGATGATTCTTTTTTTAAATGAAAGGTATATATGTCTAGATTTGTTATGAAGTATTTTTATATTGTTTAATGGCTATTTCTTTGTGTAAAACGACTAAATAGTAAAACATACCTGAAAAACACCTACACACAATACCTCCAGAAGTAAATTATTTGTCATTGTCAGTGGTGTGTCAGTTAGATTATATATCAAGTTTTTAGATATTTTAGGGGTCAATTCATTCCGCCAGCTTTAGATACATAAATGTTAGCACAAAAGTTCGTTTAAATGGCATTAGTGATTAGTGAATTAGATACGCAAAACGATTTTAGGAAATTCATCCACTTATATATAGAGTGTAAAATTATGTCGAACAATTTGTTGTATGAAAATTCCTTACTATCGGGTCTATAGAAGAATGAAATTCTACAGAAAGAATTAGAAGAGATTTTTGAAATGTATATAAACCTTCGTGACCTCTGGATTATACACAGAAAAATTTGCACAAAGGATCGTTCAAAAGACATGAGTTAAGTAATTATTTGGACAAAGCAAATTTATGAAATTCATACCATATGCCCTTAAGGAGTAGAATAGAGAATGGAAGTTTGCTGTACGAAAATGCATTACGATAACATCGAGAAGTATAAAAATTTATACTAGGGTTTATTTAGTGAAATCAATAATATGAACAAAATATTTCTTCTTCAAATCATCCTTCTAGGAATAAAAAATAACGTATAAAGAATGTATAGTCTGTGAAATGAATAACTTTGAATTTGACAGTTCCCGCGGGCTTTTTTAGTGTTTATTTTATTAGGTTAGCAACTTGCGGCCATGCTGACGCAATGCCGTCTCTAATAGAACAGCCTCTGATTGAGATTTATGACGTCACGCTAGTTAGATACAACGGATTAATAAATATATTGTAGAATACATGGAAAACATAATTATTCCTCGTATTTTTTGTTTGTATTTGAAAAACAAACTTTGTTTTTAAAATACAAACCAAAAATACGAGGAATAGTTTTATGTTTTCCATGTATTCTATAACATATTTATTAATCCGTAGTATCTAACCAGCGTGACGTCATAAATCTCGCTCCGAAGCTGTTCTATTAGAGACGGCATTGGTCTGATATTTAGAAATGTCAAAAGTGATGACATTTTACTCTTGACAATTATGACCTTTCGTGTTGATTTTTGAAAATTTGAAAACACCCTTTTTGACACCCTGAAAATTTATTAATTCGCAACAATAAAAGTAGAACTGGTAGATCCTTTTAAATCAATTAATGATCAATTATTCTTTAGAGATTGGACATGAAACAGTTCTGCTGTTGGATAAAATTTTGTATGGCACTCGCGTATTATAACATATAAGTCACTTGAGAAAATTAGCTAAACATTTCCCAGCGTATTTCCCAGCTTATATATAAGATAACACACTAATACCATTAATAACTATTATATGTTACAATATAGATGTAATTACCAAAATGTGTTTTTTTTTATTTTTTAGGTAGAAAAACCTGACGAATTTGATATAGATTTTGTTTTTTCATTACCAGAATGCGAAACTTGCAAAATCAAAAAGTGCCGTTGCATAACACTAAAGACTAGCAACACTACAGGCTTTCTGTGTTTTAAGATCAAAAAGAATTGCTGGTAAGAAATAATACATGCTTTATTTTTATAAACGTATATACTGATAAACCATATTTTTACAGTACCCCTGTTTATAAGAATTTCGTAAGAAATGGCTACATGCAAACAAATCTGATTTTTAATTGGATCAAAAGTCTAATAATGAAAGCGATATCTAAAGTAAATGCTGAACAAAAACGGAATAATAGTCGTAGGAAAACTCATGTTTCTTTGGTAAGTATCTACGCTTATTATTTTTATAAATCTTGCAAATGAATTACAAAAAAAATAAACAAATTGTGTGTTTTCAGTACTCTGAGTGCGCCCCTGCTGTCAAGATATGCATCAAGAACAAAAAATACAAGTTTCACATTGATCTGGCTCCAGCTTTTCAATTTGACCAATCCTACTGGCCAAAAGGTGGTTTTAAGAAGAACCCTTCTTCTACAGTAAGTACTGATAGTATTATTAGTCTTGTTAGTGAAATAACTATTTTCCTTTCTTTACATCATTCCAAGAGTAGTGTCATAGTATGGTAGTATATTCTGAGATGTGTAGTTTTCGACTGTGTCTGACCCTTGTCTACTCGTATACAGGGTGTCCCAGGCTGAGCGTGCATTAGAAATTTCTAGAGAACCACAATATCTAGACCGGAGATTTTTTGCACATCATTGTTTTACAACGAGATCTATCGATTAAAAGTAACGTAGGATCGAATAAAAACGGCGTCCAGTTGGCTTGGAAATGACGATCGATGGCATTTCCTATATAAATTTACATATAAAATGACAGCGATCTTCATTTCATAGCCATCGCTGACGCCGTTTTTATTCGATCATACGGTATTTCGAATATGGCGGCACTTCCGGAAATACCGGAAGTTGACGACAACTTTCTTATTTTAAACAGGTGCCCCCATTTTTTATTACATACTTATATTCTCTGTAAAATTTTATGAACTTTGATATCAAACACTCTATACCTAACATTAACCGTTTTTGAGAAAAAAAAATATTAAAAATTTTTGGACGAAAAAAACTGCTTACAAATATATAAATATTATATATGCAATATATACAAATTTTTTTGACAGGTAGTTTTTTCGTCCAAAAATTTTGAATATTTTTTTCTCAAAAACGGTTAATGTTTAACATCAATATTCATAGAATTTTATAGAGAATGTAAGTATGTAATAAAAAATAGGGGCAGCCATTTAAAATAAGAAAATTGTAATCAACTTCCGGTATTTCCGGAAGTGCCGCCATATTGAAAATATTTTTAATCGATAGATCTCCTTGTAAAACAATGATGTGCAAAAAATCTCCGATCTAGATATTGTGGTTCTCTAGAAACTTCTAATGCACGCTCAATCTGGGACACCCTGTATATAATATCTATGATCAAGGGTCTGACTTTCGAGTTAGAATTTTTGAAAATTTGTTTTTGAGTTTTTACTTCTACTAATAGTAGATAGTTAATCTTGAAAATGTTTTCTATACATCCTTAAAATAAATGTCATAAGTACCATTTGATCGAAAAAAACAGCGTCAAAGACAGCTGGGGAATGAAAATCGATAATAATTTTGGCTAAGTCAATCTCAAGACGTCCTTTAATAAAAATTGACATGAATGCGTGAAGGAAAGCGTCATTAGATAATAGAGAAGATCACGGGCCAAGCCACGTCATTAACGTCTAGGGCTTGACCTCGCCAAAATTATCATCGATTGTCATTCTCCAGCCGTCTTTAATGATTTGCTAATGATTCTGACACGGTTAGTCATTTTTTTTTAAATATATATGTGACGGTTAAGGTCCGATATTCGGTTAATATCGACATTACCCGGTACAAAACCAAACCCAAACATTAACCGGACATCGGACTTTAACCGTAATAAATATAATATGTCGCACCCACTTAATGTAATTGTCCGTTTCATGAAATGGATATCCACTTCGCGAACTGGTTAGGTTAGGTTCGCGAAGTGGATATCCATTTCATGAAACGGACAATTACACTAAGTGGGTGCGACATATATACTATAAAAATCAGTTCATATTGTTCTCCGCCGTCTTCTGATTTCCAATCTTCATTTGTCTCTGTCTGTCCAGAGATTTTCGTCTATTCCTCTGGTTCTGATGTCCCCATCTATTTCTTCTCTCCAACTTCGTCTAGGTCTCCCTCTCTTTCTTTTACCTTGTGGTGTCCAATCAAGTAGTTTCTTTGGAATACTGCTCTCTTCCATACTTTATACCACACGAGTTGGTTAATTTTATACCACACGAGTTGATGTCTTCTGTTATTCTATGTTTAACACCCATGATGTTCTGAATTCTCTCATTTCTTACTCTATCCAGTTTCGATTTCCCGGTCGCGCGCCTTTAAAGATCCATTTCTATTGCTTCGAGTCATTCGAGTGACTTTTTTTTTTCTTTCAGGCCATACTCCACTACCATAACTATCCATGCTTTTAACTATACTGTTATAAATTTTATGTTTGTTTTGTTGTAAGTTTGTGTTTGTTTTTTGAAATACTGGTTGTAAATTGATGTTATTTTGCTAATGTTATTCATTTGTTTATAGAGTGACAATTTGAAAAGAAGCAATCAAGAATATATTAAAAAAAACATAAGTATCGGATCATTTCATTGGTGGGGTTCACAACCAAAATTACGAACCCTTTGACTCACTCCTTAGTAGCCACGCTAACTTTTTTTATAACGAACCTACATTGTGTGGCATATCTTTCCAAAGCTTACTGATTTATTTTATTTTAATTTTTATTAATTGTTATTAATATTATAACAAATATTAAAATCGTACTATTAGTTTTTGAGATATCGGTGTTTAAAAGTGAGCAAGTTTACAGAATTTGGCAACACTTAGGAAAAGGTCTCTTGGCCGATTTTAATAAGAGATATCCGCTATTGCAACTTTTCAAATCGTTACCTTCTATAGGAATTATTTTCGGAAAGAATTATTAATACTTTGTTTATATCAGGAGCAGTTTTCTGTGGTACCAATGTCACCAAGGGACCAGTACGACTACTGGAGGCCGTCGTTTCAGGCTCAGGAAAAAAAGATCATCGCAAACAAAGAAAGAATGAAACCAGCATTGAGACTTCTCAAGGTATGTAGATGTAGTATGTATTTAGTTCAGACAAAAAATATGAATAGAAAAATTATACTCTACAAAACGAGAGTACCCAAAATATACAAATCAGATATAAGGCTTTTTTGCAATATTTAATTTTTGAACATTTTAATTATTTGAACATATAAATTAATTAAATACAACAAAATAATCATTATATTTAATTAAGTTATGCACTCTATACTTGATTCCGACTAAAGGTTGATCCTCACTATACCTTCCGTTTCCATTCCATATCCATTCTATATCATTTCCGTATTTTTTATTGTATTGAAGCTATACGTAAGCTTCCGTTCCGTATCAGTTCCATACTTTTTATTGTACAATTTATATCATTACGAAAGTTTTATTTTAAAAATTTGTATCTTTTGAAAAAGGTAATAGATTTAATTAAGAGATGAACTAAGAAATAAATATCAGCAAAATGTTAACAGAGCTGGTACAAATGTAAGAACTTGACAACGCTGTTTCCGATACGCTTCAGTCCGTCCGCCAAAAAAATGTATGGAAGGAAAGGATATGGAACGGAAGGGAAACGGAACGGATAGTGTGCATTGTCCTATTCATTTACATGATATAATATTTTATGTAAACGGAAGGGAAACGGAAGGGAGCTGATATAGAAGGTATAGTGAGAATCAACCTTAATGGTTTTGATTTTTTTCTAATTTCTCGAAGTATTCTATTTCTAGAACTAATGTTTGATATCCAAAAGTGATGTTTCCAACAAATCGATAAAACTTTTTAATTCCCTGTATAATATAATTTCTAAAATTATTATTAGGTATTATAGTCAACGTATTTGAACATATTGGTTAAAAATGCATAGCTTTTAGATCTAATTGCCTCATACGTCCTATCAGTGCAATATTAGTTATCAGTTTGTTATTAAAATTTGTCAATCGCTGATGGCAATATTTAGCGTTAAATGTGCATATACTGAGCATTGTTTGTTAGTTGTATGGATCGATTAAGATATAAGTAGAGATAAAAATAGTAAACTAATTTTTTGAATTTACTACTTCAGTGGTTCGGTATTTAGTAGAGAGACAATTAACAGATCAACATATTTGAATAAAAGATTTAGCATCTAATTTTTATACAAATCTGAACTATTTTGATAGGATATATTCAAGTGTATTTTCTTTTTAAAATAAAGTACTTAACGGTAAATAGCAGTAAGTACATAGAAAATTCTCGAATTGGCTTATACTCAAAGATATTTAAACTCGGTTAGGTTTGGTTATATGGTTGCTTTGCTTATACTTGATGTCATTTGTAAAAGTGAAATAAATACACGTCAACATTTACAACAAAGAGTACAAAATGCACATTCGGAAGTAGAAGATCTATTGAAAGGACTATAGGTGCATCTCAAAAGTGGCTCACCCCTATAACTTATGAATCGCACGTTGCAATTTCAAATCAACCATATTCGAAAATGTTGAAAGTTGACATATGATATGTCACTCTATTCAGAGTGTCAATTTCTATCCAATAAAGCAACAAAACACCGAGGGCACCAACAAAAAATCAAAAGTTGTAGTCATTTCCGGTAAAACAGGAAGTGACAGAAAACAATTGAATAGTCAATCAATCCTAATTTATGTCATATATTAATATACCAAATTTCGATTTTTTATCTAAAAAATAAAAAGTTATAGGGGTGAGCAACTTTTGAGATACACCCGGTATACATAAAATTGAACAAAAAATAATTGTTGCAATAGGGAGGGTTGTAAAACTTTTGAACATGTAGAACATGAGAAACTAGTTTGTAGAAGTTTATTTATTTATAATAATTACGATTAATATTATATACATACTGCATACATTGAGATTTCAAATCCATAATAAAAAAAAAATTGGCGCCGGGAGGCACGTATAGCCGCCCATACTAAAATATGTTATTCAAAATTTGATAGGTAGTTCTTTTAGTTTCAAAGTAAAGGAATTTTTCCAATTTTTTTTTTAACTTAAACTGCGACTTTGACTGATTTTGATGTTATTACAAATTTTGTTGCAAATATTATTCCTAATCTTAAATTGAAAATCGCGTTTCGCTAGCTACTGTAATTTTGGAGTTACGATTTTTTAAAATTTTTAACCCCCTCCCATACCCCCTTACCCCACCCCTACCAAAAACTAATTTCTCCAGCCAGATTCTCGGGTGCCACAGTATTTTTGTGCCAAATTTGGTTAAAATCGGTTTAGCGGTTTTTGAGTCATCGTGTTACAGACAGACGGACAGACGGACAGACAGATAGACAGACAGACAGACACCATGAAAATATTTGGTATTTAGGTCATTTATAACCCAAATAACTCACTTTGAGTGAAATTAAAAAAAAACTTTTTTTTGCCGATCTACCAAACATACCTATTAATATGTATGGTCGGCTAAAAAGATAAAAATTATATCATTAAATTGCTGACCTGGATATTATTTATTTGGATCTTTTAATTGGCTCGATTTTCCTTATTTAATGTTAATTAGCGCTCACCAATATTGTTGCGATAAATATAATCAGGTTAAATAATTTAAAAAACCTGTGTCGGACTTGAAATTATTTTAAATAATACCAAATTAAATATTTGTTTGTTGTTGTTAAAGTACCAAAAATAAACAAAAAATATAAAGTGTGGCAGTGCTCAGAAGATTAAATTCTTTCAAAACCTGAAATAAAAAATGCAGTTCCATATTTAGAAAAAATAATTTGGCCTCTGTATCTCACAAATTATCAGCTAATTTGAAAATCTAAAAATACTATCAGATAGCCCTGATAAAATGGCTATGAAAATATGCAGCTAGTTTTTCGAATTTCTAAAAAGCAACGACAGGAAAAAATAAAATTTATTTTCAAAAAATACGTTTTTTTTTCAAAAACTCTCAATTTTTGAGATTTTTTGATAGAATGTTGGCGAACATTCCGAGGTGGCAACTTTGCCCCAATTTAACCATCTTCGTATCTATTGCGATTTTCGAGATACCATTGCTCGTACCACGAATTTGTAGCACCCTGTATACATACAGTTCATACCAAATAAACTTTTAGTCACGTGATTAAGCTTGACCGGCACAGTGTTGCCCACTTTTATATATATATTCTTTTAATCAAAATATTTTAGAAAACAAAAATAAATTAATTATAAATATATAAACAGATATCGTTTACATCAACATATTCACCTTCTTAACAACACTTAAGGGATATAAAGGGCCATTACTACCGCTTTTATGTTCAAAATATTCCAATAAAGGTGCAATTAGTTTTTTACGGCTATTAAGCTATCTTGTACACTTCGCACTAAAAGAAGTTCTAAAAAGAACAATGTTCGACTGCAAGGTCTGCTAGTAAACATTTTTAAGCTTAAAGTATCACAACACTATTTATTTAAACCAAAAACTAGTAATTCAAAACTAAAGTGAAAAAACGAATGACAATGTCAGGAAATAAGAATGCGGCAACTTGACATTTTTTACAGTAAAGCTACCTTGATGTCAAATATATATTATATTATAGAGTCTAGATTCAAAATAATATTCTCCTAATAAACTTGATATTGCTAGTTCCAAAATGTATTATTTAAAGATCATTTTTTTTAGAAAATGAAAAGCAATCGCACTCATCAAATATCCAGCTACGCTTTGAAAACTTTAATAATGGAAGAAGCCGACAATGTTGAGTGGAGTGAAATGTCTTTAGGAGAATCATTCATGCTCGTATGTGCAAAAAAATAAGTTAAGTTTAAACAGATTAGTGAATAACAATATATCATCTTTCAGCTTCTGGAAAAGTATATAGATGCACTTCAGGATGGCCATATCTGGTATTACTGGAACACCAAGGTGAATTTGTTGGGTTATTTGAAGAAGAAAACTGTTCAGAATCATTTGAATGAAATTCTCAAGATATATTGTAAAGTTATTCAAGAATATGAAGACAATCCCATTGTCATTGCTGAACTTATCTGTACGTATTAATTTATTCTATAAAAATTAAGTAACAAAAAGAGTTTCTATAATAGATAAATAATAAGTTTTTTTTTATACAAATCATGTGAGTAGTTACTAGAGATGTCACGAATATTCGAGTACTTATCGGTATTCGGCCTATTCGGTTACTTTTATTTATATTCGGTATTCTATCAAATATTGCGTACTATTTACAAAAATTAAATTTGATTTAATTGCACTTTTTACCGTAACTTGATGTTGCAACTTTTCTAAGGCGATTTCATCCTATATAATTAGTGATACTTCATCTCTTAAGAGATGGAGAAGAGTTATCATTAGAATCAGTATTAGATTAGGTCCTCATGTGTTTGAACCATTCAAATAAATAAATATGATGTAGAATGTAGAATGTTTCGAAGCGAGGTTAATCACCGCGACACTTCTTCTTCTTCTTCCTGTGCCTTGACCTTAGCCGTACGTTGGCGATTGTCTGCACTCTTCATACAATGTGTAGAGTGCCGTTTTCGGCTCTTCGAAATATGGTGGCTGCGTCGCTGATGTTACACCAATCCCGTATGTTTCTTAGCCAGGAATGTTGTTTTCTTCCTGGGCCTCGCCGTCTCTCTATTTTTCCTTGTAGAATCAGCTTAGGAATGTAATATTTGTCTCCTCTAAGGATATGACCGAGGTATGAGACTTTCCTTTCTTTAACTATATTAAGCATTTCTCGTTCATAGCCTGCAGTTCTTAAAGCTTCTTCGTTGGTGGCATGTGCGGTCCATGGCACACGTAAGAGTCTCCGGAGAGTCCACATTTCGAAAGCCTCGATGCGGTTCAGGGTTCTAGCCTTGAGTAACCAGGTTTCTGCGCCGTATATATAAGTTTGGTCTTGGCAGCGTTGATTTTAAGACCGAAACGATTTCCCATGTCCCCTATCTTATTTATTATTTGCTGGAGATCCTCTATAGTTGGTGCTAGTATTGCCGTATCATCTGCATATCTTATATTGTTAATTGGAACTCCGTTAATCTTAATTCCTCCACTTTCTCCTTCCAGGGCCATTTGAAATATTTTTTCGACGTATATATTAAAAAGTATTGGTGACAGTATATTGGTGACAGTATACAGCCCTGGCGGACTCCTTGACACACACTGAAGGTGTCTGTTACCGCGACACTACAGATCTATTATGTGTCCCTCTTTTTTGAATTATGGAGGCTAGCTCTCCATCAGCGACATCAGCCGTACCAAAGTTTATGACACGAACGGTTGTCGTCTTGGCGCTCTCAGTGATGAGGTGTTCTGGAGTTTCCCCATTTTCCCCCAGAATTTGCGCTCGCCTTGTTTCTCAGCTTCAATCTACTGAGGTATTCGTTAAGGAGATAGTGTCCTGTTAAAAACCCCGTGACAATACGAAGATTATTCTAGCTTAAATCAAGGATTTTTTTTTATTTTTCTCGGTCGTAAGTTCTGAGAAATGTATTCGAATGTCTTAGAGTTTTGGAGGATTCCCATTCTAGGTTACGGATGGAGTGTTCCAGGTTCTTGAGTTCCGCTTTAACTTGGTTTCCACTTGGAAATCAGAACGGTTCTGGTCCAGTTATTCGAGTGTTCACTCCTTTTGTAGCTAGATCTTTGCTTTTGTATTGCCCTCCAGCTCTTTGTGAGCTGGCACACAAAATCGGAGCACTTTATTTTCTTGGCCTAATTTATTCCGCTTCTCTAGGCGTTCTTTGAACAACTTGGCTACTGAGCTTATCGCAATAAAAGTTTTTATCAGACAAATATTCTAGAAAGTGCCTCTAGTCTATTTAAAAAGTGTAGACCAAGACCAAGATTCGACCGTGCAAGCCCAAGACCACCACTATTTATTAGACTGCAAGACCACGGGAATCTTGGTCTTGGTCTTATATTTACTCATCACTAATCGCAATTAACTATCAGAAATTCATTGCAAACCGACGGTGACGCGACGCCAACGGAATCGAAAAAAAAATTAGCTTTACTATTAACTCTGTGTTTGTTTACGACGGCATAAGAACATTTGGAAGGATGGTAAAAAAACATACTACAAGAGGAATCTGCCGAAGTATATACATAAAAATAGCTCTAAAAGCCTAAAAGGCTCATGGCTTGATTGGTTATCTTTCTCCATTTGTTTCTGTCTTTCGCCTTTATTCTCCACCCATCCACTCTTATCCTTCTCAAGTCCTCTTCTACATCCTTTTTCCATCTGATTCTCGGTCTACGTGAAAAGTCATGGTGAACACGAGAACCTTCTCTTTCCACCTATTTGACGTTTCATTATCATACTAGGAATTCTTTCTAACTAAGCCATTCGTTCAATGTGTCCCAGCAATCTGAGTCTTTGTGCTCTTGCTACTCCCGTTATACTCGGTGCCCGATATAGTTGCTTTACTTCTTCATTTGTTCTTCTGGTCCATATGTTGTCTATCTTCTTTCCTCCAAAAATCTTCCTCAGTATTTTTCTTTCCCAAATCACTAGCCTCGAACTTTCTGTTGCATTGAACGTCCACGTTTCACATGCATACAGCACTATTGGTCTTATCATTGTTTGGTATATTCTGATTTTTAAACTTCTAGAAATGTTCTTACTCTTAATAATTTTCTGTAATGCGCTGACACATCTATTTCCTGCCATTATTCTTGCCATAATTTCTTGAGTTACATTTGGATTCCTTAGAAATACTGCTCCCAGATCTGTGAATGTATCTACTTTCTCAAACTTGTATCGTTTACCTCTCTCAGAATTCAATTGTAGACATCTTCCCTTCTCAAAATCCCTATCTGACCACTCCATAAATTTCGTTTTCTTCTCATTAAACACTAAGCTTACTTTTTGCGCTTGGTATTCTAGTCTTTTGGTCACCGATATCAGCTCTTTCCGATCTCTCCACCAAATCATCGGCAAAGGCTAAGCATTGGTGTCTTTTTGTATACAGAAGGCCCTCTCTGTTGTTTCCCGCGTCTTTTATAATTTTTTCTAATACTACACTAAACAGTACTGGAGATAGTGGATCCCCCTGTCTTAATCCGTCCCTGATTATAAATTTTTCCTTTGTTTTCTTGTTTACTTTGACTTCATTTACTGTCTCTTGGAGTGTCAATTTTATCATCTTGGTCAGTTTCTTGCTAACCCCTAATTCTGTTAATGCTCTAAACACCTCCGTCCTTTTAACTTTGTCATATGCCTGCTGAAAGTCGATAAATAGGAGCATTGTCTGTTTTCCGTGTTCATAACTCTCCGCTTGTATTTCTCTAATGGTAAATATTTGGTCAACGGTACTTCTTCCTTTCCTAAATCCACATTGGTACTCCCCAATTTTTTCATCAACCGCCTCCACTAACATTTCTTTTATATATGTTGCCAGTACTTTATACGCTACATTTAGGAGAGCTATACCTCTGTAGTTTTGACACTCGCTTTTATCTCTCTTCCCAGATAGCACATTTACGTTCTTTTCATATGCGAAGCAAGTGACTTTGGAGAACAACAATGTTCTATTCACATTCCTTTTTTTCATTGGGAACATATATGGCACATGAATAGCAGAGATTACGTTCCACCCTATTCAAGTGATATAGAAGTGCGTTTCACATTCCAAGATATATTGTATGAACGTGAATTATATGTTCGTAAAAGAATGTAATTAAAAGTAATATTCCAATTATATGATATTCATGTTTTTAATATTCTATATTTATGCTTTTCATATGTTTTTCATATTTTTTTATTATCTACAGAGGCAAAATAAAACACTAATTTACCACAATACACCAAAACACTTTACTTTTGCACAGGACACTTGTTTTGCTAACCATGTTAGCATCATCAGCAGATGGTCAAAATTTAAGTTTTAATCATCTGCTGATGACGCTAACATGATTAACCAAATAAGCGTCCAGTTCAAAAATAAAGTGTTTTGGTATATTGTGGTGAATTAGCGTTTTATTTTGCTGTTGTAACACCAAAGTTTCCAACCCTCAACTCTGTGTGGGTGTCAATCTACAGGGTGTCCTGTATAAGGATGCACTGTACCAATATCCTATAAACTATAGATAGATACATTTTTTTTCATATTTAGCAATTTTTTTATCTCTTAAAATCTATAGGATACCTATACAGTACATTCATATCTGGGACACACTACAAACAATTTGCTGAAATTAAATAATTTGGTGTGTAATAATCAAAAATTAACTAATAAATAGAACGGTTAAAAATAATAGGTAAGGATAAAGACGAACTTGAGTAATATATGTTTATTAATTAAAAATATTTTAATATAACAATATACATTGATATTATCTTCTATGTCTATGTTTCTATATTCTCTTGTCTACCCTTCTGAAATAATATCAGCAGAATTATACTGTTCAAATAAATTTGCACAACTTACCTTTGTATTTTTTAATCTTTCTTTTGTTTTTACAAGCCATATTTTAATTGTATTGATAATTTCGGTTTCTTTTGACTCTTGAAATTGACCTTTCATGGAGTCTAAAATAGATGTTATTACAGTCTTTGCAACACCAAATATCTTTAAGTTCAGATACCTAAAATTGCTTTTGGCCACTAACAATGATTTCAAACTTCTCTTCTGTTTGGCCCCATCCCAAGAATATTTTTGTGCAATTTCATTGCCAAGAACCTTATACAGCACTTTCCTTGTACTTTGTGCTACTCCTGAACCACCAAGTCTAGATAATTCTCGAACCTAATAATTCTAAAAAATAACTTTCTCTTAAAAAATAAAAAATTACACAATAAATGATTATAGAAGAGCCTACATAAATACTATATTGTAGGAAATTTCAGCACTGGAACTACACTTATTAGAACAGAAATCTTCAATGATACTACCAGAGATACTACTACTTTGATGATGTACGGAGGATAATAAAGAATCACTTTGGTCTGAATCCAGTTTAATGTACAATATTGAAGTCATATTTGGGTAACATTGACTTAATAAGATTTTGGCTCCTTTTCTTTGGTTGAATTTTAAAATATTTTTTAGTATAACCTATTTTTTTCGAGGTCTCATGGTTTTAGAACATTAAATTGACTCCCCTTAAAATAGATACTGAAAACACAAACATAACAAGAACTATTTTACCGATTCTATCCTTAAAACAATTATTTGCATCACTTACCTTTACGTTATCTCAGTGTTTTAATTATTAAAATAGTTTGGATTGGTTTGGATATGGTTTGGATGAAGCACGTTTACGTTTATAGTCTATGTCACAGACCAAAAACATATAGATTGGCAACTCTCGTCATTTATCGAGAACGCGTTTTACAGCGCTCGGTGACTTGAAGACGTACTAAATCTTCATTTTTCCCGCCAGGTACTGGGAATTTAAAATTGAATTGGATTATTGCTTTTTTACCAAACGTGAAAGAATTAATACTGTTTTTTTTTAGTTTTCTGTAAAATATAACTTTATTTTACAGAAAACTAAAAAAAAACGGTATTAATTCTTTCACGTTTAGAAAAAAGCAATATGTATATAATATTTCTAATAAGACTGATACGGAACAACAAAAACCAATATGAAACACAAAAATTTTATTAAAAATCATCAAATAATACTATAATATTATCCATTCAACATTTGAATAAAAAATAATTCGTTATATAGATTAGTACCTTACGTTATATACATACACATTATACAGACATTTTACATTATAATATAAACAATATTTATCAACAAAAGCAATAAAAACATTAAACTCTATAAAGGGACTTGTTTAATTTTATTTAAGGCTTTTATGTTTTACTTTATTTTTTTAAAATACTTCAAATGCAAGTTTTTTTAGAGGATCTCCTCGACTTGCATAACCCTAAAAATATACTACATATACGAATTTTTAAACGGGTCAATAACATAAGTTCACTTACCTCTTTATCCATTGGCATACTATGTAAAATCGACGATCTACTAGAGGATTTACAGCCCAACACACAGCAATATAACACCATTTTTAAAAAGTCAACACAATAACACTTCGTAACAATTACAAAAATTTAGATCGAACCAGGAACAAGCCCAAAGGACGACGGGGATAGACTCAAGAATTTTAAAATTTAGCCGGTCGCCCGTCTTTTGAGCAGTACCAATCATAAAACAGAAAAATTCTTATTGGCTGTCGCTTTCTCCCGCCGGGCGACACTAGCGCACGGTGTCTTGAAGTCGTACTAATTTCGTGGTTTGACGTTTCGCGGAGAGTGCGCAGGGCCTGGTCTATGTTTATAGTTGACTTTTTGTTTTTTTGTTAGGTTATGTTATGGATGCACGATTCGATTTCGATTCGGAGCAAAAAATCGATTAAAATCTATCGAGTTTTATCAAACTATCTTTTGGTATAATCGATCTTTTTATTTCATAATGGAAGATCGTTTTTATTTATACAGTTTTACAAGTTTATTTATTTGTTAGAATAAGAAACACTGTATTTTTGCTTGAATATTTGTTTACAGTGCATTTATATGCACTAATATATAAAATCCCTAATTATTTAATACACAAAAATTTAATAGTAAGAAAATATACAAATATAATGTATTGTAATTATTTTTTCATTTCGAAATCATTTTTATTCTCCTTTATTTTTATTCAGATATTAATTTGTTTAGAACGTGAATAGCAGATACTTATAATTTATTGTAAACCATAATTTAAGAAGACATTCTACGGTCATGCTGATAATATACCTTTAAATCACATTCATAGTAGAATGTACTATTCATATGCCATACTTATTAAAAAAAAGAATATACTTATAAGAACTTAGGAGGAATATTCTTTGAATGTAAATGTTCCTTTTGTGCTATCTGGGTTCTTATGTATAGGGCAGATTATTGCTTCTTTCCATTTTTTCGGTATTTCTTCTTTCTCCCATACGTCTTTCAGTAGTTCCTGGATGTGTTCTATCAACTTGGACCCTCCATACTTAAATACCTCAGCCGGCATGTGATCATTTCCGGGACTTTTGTCATTCTTTAAGTTCTGGATAATTCTTTGTACACTTTCATAATTCGGTGGGAGTACCTCTTTATTCTGATGCTCTATATTTATCTCATCCTCCTCCTACTTGTCTCGAGTATCTTCGCTTTCATTTAATAGTTCTTCAAAATATTCTTTCCATCTATTCAAAACATCTTCCTCAGTTGATATTATTTGTCCTTCTTTATCTTTAATATATAGTGTCATACCTTGGTATCCCTGTCTTTCATTCCTCAGTCCCAAATATAACTGCCGAAATATGGTCAGCTATTATTTCTGCTGGTATTGGGGAGAAAGAGAAAAGAAATCATTTATGGGTATTTGGGAGGACTATTTTATGGAATGGGGAGATTTTAAAGGAAAGGGGCAAAGTTAATTGTTCAAAAGAATTGTTTTCAGATAGGGAGGATGAAGAACATCACACTCCCTACACAAAATATTCGGTATTCGGTCAAAATCACTATTCGTGGTATCTCTAGTAATTACCATCACTCCGCTGGCTGGAGACTAATCGCATTTAACCAAATACTACTCTCGAAAAACGCTATGTGCCAATCAGCAATGAGCACATGCACTTTGACAACCCCCGTCAAATTAACTGAAACTGCCATAAGTAGTATTAAACATTTCAATCATATAATATGCAGGGTCGGTCTTAGATAAGTGCAAATATTTTTAGGGGTAGTATATTTCAACCCCAGAAACACGAATATGAGCTTTTTTTCGCAAAAAAAATTGAAAATTTGGAATTTTTTGGAAATTTTTTTAGTGTTTAGGTTAGAAACATAATTTGGGTATTTGCAGTTGCATAATATGGCAAAATAGGTAGTAGATTAAATTTACAAGAAAGAAAATCCAGAAAAGATCCAGAGGTTCTCAAAATTTTAGAAAAAAATCATTTTTTTTGTAAATTTTCAAAGTAAGATAGATATATCTGGGTTATTTTGGACTTATTTGAAAAACGGTAAAGAGAAAATATGTTTGTTTATTGAGGTCTACCAACCCTGAAAATATTTGCACTTATTTAAGACTCATCCTGTATAAATAGTAAGTAGGAGAAAAAAAAATAGTTTATGTTCAATTTTTATAAACTTGGTGTATATTGGAACTATGGAACTTACATAAATTTTTATTCAATTTCAGTGAAGAAAGACTCAAAGGAATACAGGAAGTTTATAAATCTCTGGAACAGAAGACAATTGCAGAATGGTATTCCAAATGGCAACAATGACATTTATCTTGTTGCTTTTGATAGCTTCTCTGAAATATTCCTGAGCCGTTTAACACTAGCGAACAAGCACTGCCGCTAAGTTATTCTATTTTATATTATTATCAAGTGATCAAAAAGAAAAAAAATTGAGGTAGACACAATACATTATAATAATATTTTATATCTTTTATAATCCTTGCTTGTAAAACTATCACGTAGATGCAGATGTATGTCTACCTCAATTTTATTTCTTTGTGATCACATTCTATTAGACTGATAGACATAAAGTACAAAAAAAAATGTGATTATCTACTCTCCGATTTTACCATTTAAGTATTGATTAAGCAAATACCATAGGATCGACAAAAAACGGCGTCACAGTAGCCTTTGAAATTAGAATCAATGATAATTTATATCTGACACACTTTACATGTCATCAAATTAATATTTTAAATGAAAACATAAAGTTCCTACACAAAAATAATTCTTTGAAAATACATTTTTGTCAGGCAACTTTTTTTTTTAAATTAAATATTAATTTTTACTGATAAACTTGTATGTTATTTTTAGTAAATGACATATAGAGATCGGCCTGATAAAAATTATCGTCGATTATCATTTCAAAGCCTACGCTGACGCCGTCTTTTTTCGATCATACGGTATTCTTACATGTAAGAGAATGACAGCTCGAAATATTTGAATGTAAACAATCGAATATTCCATTTGACTGATCATAAAGAATATTTGCAATAATATGATCTGAGCTATAAGTGTGAATGTTTAGTAGATAGGTACAGTTCAATATTTATTAAGTTGTCAACTTAATCTCGTTTATAAATGTGTACCTAATGTAGTACCTAATTTAGTGTTGTGGCCGTAGCTCAGCGGAAATGTGTCAATCTGCTGAGCCGGTTCGATCACACTGTCGAGAACAAAGAGGAGGCCATACAATTATGATGTATTAATGTGAAACGTCATCGAAGAAAGGCCATCCCATGATGGTACACCTTTCTTCGTGCAATCATGAAAGAAACATTGTTGAAATCATCGATATACTGATAGTTTGCTACGGTAGAACATTGATGGTTAAACAAACGGAAAATCACGAAAAAAAGCCTGCAACAAAAGTAATAAAAAAACATTCGTGTCGACACAACAACTTGCCACTTAGACACTTGAAGTACCAGCCGGTAGGCCCAAAATAAACAAAAACATGGAACATTACCTTATTTCTAATCTTTATCAGCGCAACAGTAAAGCTACGTCGAAAAACCGGTTCTCGATAGATCACCGAAGTTAAGCGACGTTAGACAATGCCAATGGATGGACAGGTGACCGCCTGGAAACTCTGTCGTGCTGTTGTTCCTTGGAAGTGTAAAATCTATTGAAATGCACTGCTCATTCACGCCAAATCGAGGCCGGATGAAATCGGGTCTCGTGACTATAGGCCATTGACAATTCTATGGCCAGGTACCGCGGTTCGGACTCCGCGTAAGCAAAGTAGACCCCGTCCAGATCAGGTCAGCAAAAAGGAAACGTGAACTTAAAATACTTTACTTTCACTAATCTTTATCAGGACCGCCCGCATTAGAACATTAATTAATGTCAAAGTAGTCTGCAACTTGTCAATATTGTCCAAATCCTTTGGATCTTTACGTTAATAACCGGTCAGTAATAACAATGTCCAACCTAAATGGCCTTTTTAAGGTAAAGGCCGGTTTTATCTCTTTGTCCGTAACACATATAAGTTCAGCAATGACAATGAGATTGTATTGATATTCTTGAATGACTTTACAATATAACATGAAACTCTTATTGAAATGCTTCTGAACAGTTTTCTTCTTCAAATCCGCCTGAATCTATTTTTACTTTTAATCAAATCGGTGTGATCAGTTGATTTCAACAAATTTCGACCGCAGCGCTTCAACGGCAGAAATCAGAAATTATCAGTATGCATTTCACGCCACCGCGGTTACAGTTCATGTTGATCGCATTAAAATAATATTTAAATCGTGGTTTTGTCATAATATTTAATTATTTTAGTTTTTCACTAGTGCAGTTATCGAGACTATAAAACACTCAGGTACAAGGTTTGTTTTGGTTTAGATAACGCTGTTTCGGGTAGTAAATAATAAGTGAAATAGAAATCAAACTAGGCGTCGTGTTGTGTTGTGACAATTTCAAATCTTAATAAAATTGCCGAAAATGTTAACGCGAATAGGAGAGCGTAATTAAGGCGTTGTTGGGTGCAATAACATTCAATCCCCCACATTTCCCGAATATTCAACTCTCCCGAAACAACATTTTATGGCAATTTTATTAACATAACATTTGAAATTGTCAAACACAACACGACGCCTAGTTTGATTTCTTTTCCATTTTTGCTGCAGTAGACCATCATGCAAAACAAACTATACTGGTATTGCAAATGCTTCATCACCTCTTATGAAACTAATGTATGCGACGCTTCTCTTCCTGATAACAATATTCTGATTCTATAACTTGCGTCAGCGATCACATTGATCAAAGCGGAATTCGAGGCTGAATACCGAAAAAGCGACTGTAAGTTCGCCAAGTATTCAATGTCTCGTGTTCCATATGTTTTGAAAGACTTCAGCAAAACCCATTCCGACAGACATTGTCGATGTCGTCAAAGTTGTTAATGCAGACTGGCTGACTGGGTGAGGTAGTAACTGGTTCACGTTCTGACGGGAATCTAACACGCGGGGAATCAAACTCGCGACCTGGCTGTAGTCGTCAGCCTCAGCGTATTGATGTCGAAATGGCTGTAATTTTCAACAGCGACGATTCTTCCATCCGTGGCGCAACTCGATGATATCGGCCAGTTTCGAAGTAACTGTTGACCAGGTAATGTTCCATTTTATTTGACGCTATGCAGTGACTGGTCGTGCAATATTTTATTGCAGGCTTTTCGTGATTTGCTGTCATCAATCTACCGTAACGTGTTCAACAACATGTTGCGAAAAAAATTGCCATGCGATGGCTTCGTCGATGTTGTTCACAATGTATCATATTGTCTCTTTGTTGCTCATTTTGATGTCGATCGGCTTTCGGCAATTGACATTCCTTTGTTTAAATACGTGCAAACGAGATGGTATTTAACTGTAAATGACCGGGCTGTATCTGGCATTCACCTCCAGACCTCATATTGACTAACATGATCAATCAATGAATTGTTTACAGCTAAATGACTCGGCTGTGTCTGCTGCATGTAAGCTAAAAATCGGCGGCGGAAGCTTGTGTGTCGACAATGGCGGCCCTTGATTATGAAAATTCTACAGGAGGCCAGGTACATCCAGGAATTCCACCCACTGGGAATTCAATTGACTTCGTAAATTCAGGGAATTCGCCAGAAGAACTGCAGGAGGCTGGAAGGGTACAGCTGGCACTGAGCATTAAACCATGAATACTATAATAGGCAGTACTAGGGTGAAAAGAGCATTTTTGCAGTGATATCCGTTTTTCGTTTTCAAATCCCAATAATAAGCAGGACAATTGCTCATTATATCTAAATATTTTCCAATATACATCCCAATCTACTTACTTATAACATTCCTGTTCACCACTGAAACCCTCATGGGCGCATTCGTACTCGAAAGTGTCAGGGACAATTTCATTTCTCGAAAGGAATAACTGGGCTAACCTGATTGGCTTTTAGGTGCTATCGGCATGATACCATGCGTAATCTTAATTGCAGTGACCCTTAACTGAGACTATTTCACTCTATAGATACAGTAGGTACCTGTCATTTCAAAATCCCAACAATTTTTAATAGTGAAGTGCGGCTTTATTTCAGTATTTTGTTAATGAGTTAGCTAAAAAACGTAATATTTTTTATTGTTAGCTTGTCCAAAGTAAATCGCAAGCCTTTTGTTCGAACAGCACCGGCGGGAGGCTCCAGGAGGCTGTGACTGTTGCTGCTCCAGGGAGACCAGGAATTCGAGGGAGCCGGGAGTGCAATTGGCGGTAAAGAAAAAGGTATAGTGTACTTTCCCTCTTGCGACCCTCATTTATCAGGCTCTTGCAAAAATAACACAAACATCTCAGCCAAGGTAATATTTAATTTTAAAAAAGTTGCCCAAAAATAAATTTTCAAGAGTACATGTATGAAAGGCTTTATGTTTCATTAGAAGCACAAATTATCATTGTTCTAATTTCAAAGGCTGTATTTATAGATTTTGATCGTCTATGTCATTCCCCCTTTAATCAACTTCAAGCAGTAAAATCGATAGACAATCATTTTTTTTATGCTTTATGTCCTATCAGTCTAATGAATGTAGATGCAAGAAATAAGAGTGAGGCGGGCATGCATCTCTGGTTTACAGCTTGAGACCAAAAGGCATAAAATATTGTTACTGTGTATTGTGTCACACTCACTGTTTTTAAAAATAGAATAACTAACTGTCGCTAATC